CCCCTCCCCCCCAAGTCCCGCAGCGCCCCCTTCAGGGTCCTCCTCCCCTCCCCCTATCCAGCCCCTACCCCCCACGTCCCTCAGCGGGACTCCTCCTCTCTCCTCCCTTCCTATCCATCCCCTCACCCTCAGAGCCCCTCTGCTCCCCACTCCGTACATCTCCCCCCACCTCCCTGGCTCCGCCCCCTCACGCTGCCCCTGCCTTTCCCGCCCGGCACCCACGCCTGCGCACTGCCACCCTCAACCCTCGCGCCCAGAGGCCGGCAGGCGGCGGGCTGGGCTGCAGCACGCAGAGCACGAGGTGGAGCCGCACGAGGTGGAGCCCACGCAGGACGGGGCCGGCGGGGTGCCCAGGCCTCGCCTCCCGCGGTGAGGGACCTGCCCCCGGGCAGACTTGCAGCCTCCCCCACGAGCATAGGCTCCCCACTAGCACGGGCTGTTCCAAGCGTGGGCTGTGGGGCAGGCGGGACGGGGGCGGGGGCCGCCCAGGGGGTTCCGGGAGGGAGGGGACGCCGTCTAGCCTGGGAAGGAGTGTGCTTGACCGGCCTGAGATGTTCCTGGCCAAGCCTGGGTGGGCTAAACGCCACTAGGCCCAAAGCCTGCCTGGCTCATACAGTGCTAGATCTAGAATTAGCAATGGCGGGAGGCCTCCTCAGGCCCAACCTTGTGAGGACAAAGTGTGCACTGGCCCCAAACCTGCTCAGTCCCATCCTTGTGAGGGCAGAGTGTGCACTGGCCCCAGATCTGCTCAGGCCCAAACCTTGTGAGGACAGAGTGTGCACTGGCCCCAAACCTGCTCAGTCCCATCCTTGTGAGGACAGAGTGTGCACTGGCCCCAAACCTGCTCAGCCCCAAACCTTGTGAAGACAGAGTGTGCACTGTCCCCAAACCTGCTCAGGCCCAAACTTTGCTGGGATAGAGTGCATTGGCCCCAAACCGGTTAGTTCTAGAATCTTGGACCAAATCCCACTTTAACCTAAATTCTGCTTAGACTCAACTCCACCTAAGCCCAGGCCAGGTCAACATTGTCCTGACCCTACTGGGCCCAAAGCCTTTAGAGGCCAGACCGTGTTAGACCTTCACCAACCCCAAAGCCTGCTAGGCCCCAACCCCACTGTGCGGAAGAATACCTCTTGCTTCTGTCTCAGAACAGGCCAAGACATCATGGCAGCTACAGAGCCCTCTGTCCCTTCTGAGCAGTTCACCAAAATCAAAGAGCCGGAGTTGATACTGGAGAAAGGCCTAGAAGAGGAGGAGGAAGATGGAGTGTGCAAAATGAAGGATCCTCAGCGCCCTGGGGAGCTGGAGGCCAAGTGTACTTATGGGGACCCCCAGCCCGGGATCCCGGAAGAAGAGCCGGAGCTGGTGCCCGCCCCATCGGAGGAGAGCGAGAAGCACATCCTGACCCTGCAGGCGGTGCGCTTCACTTCCGACAACCCGGAGTTGCGGGACACCGGCTGGCTGAGCGCGCAGCCCCCGGAAGGGGTGCAGGTGATGCTGCAGCAGGCCAGTCCTGGGCTGCCGTCGCTGCTGTGGCTCGGCGAGGGGCCCCAGCAGAGCGTGCAGCAATACTTGGCCATTCGTGTGCAAGAAGAGCTGTACGCCGTGCGAGACTTGGAGCTGCAGTGTCGCGTTCTGGATGAGAACGTGGCGGTGGCCAGTGAAGACAGTAAGCTGGTGGTGAGCCTGGCTGAAAGTACTGGATTGATTCAGGTACAGCTGGTTTTAACAAACTGACCTCTTATATGAATAATAAAAAAAACAAAACTGTTTTCTTAAGTCGGCTTTTGTGCAGTATTATGTATGGACAAGCTATTTTGCAGTTTCAAATTACACACAGTAAAAGTACTTGCTAGGAAAATTTTTAGAGATCTTATGTTTTTTTTTTCAAGAATTGTAAAAGTTACGATAATTGGAATGCCGTAAGATGCATGTGTTTTTAAAAAGGGGGATTATGTCACCGCCGCAATCCCGATGCTAAATAATTACAGCTTAAAGCATTTTGGTTGCAACGCATAATCTTTAATTTTTGCTTTTCTTTATGTACGGTATGGTTCATCAAGGCAAAAGCTTAATCAGATTGTAATTAATAGTATATTTGTTGGAATATTTATCTTCGTTAGCTTGAGAAAAGTCCGGAGGAGAACCAGTGTTTGGCCGAAGGAGGATCCGCTGAGAGAATGGAAAGGCAGCTCTTTATTCTGAAAGCGAGACCCGGAGATGAGGGAAGAGATGAAATTGTTCTGACAATTTCGAATATCAACATGAAAGAGCAGGAAGATAAATCTACATCTAGTCAAGCAGATGTTGAAAGCGCCAACTCTACAAAGGACGAGACAAAGGGTAGGCCAGTTCATCTTGGGGAAGAGACCGCGTAAAGCTGGGCTGTGGGGTTTCTTTTTTTTTTTTTTTTTTGAGACAGATTATCACTCTACTGCCCTGAGTAGAGTGCCGTGGTGTCAGCCTAGCTCACAGCAACCTCAAACTCCTGGGCTCAAGTGATCCTTCTGCCTCAGCCTCCCGAGTAGCTGGGACTACAGGCATGCGCCACCACGCCCGACTGATTTTTTCTATATATTTTTAGCTGTCCATCTAATTTCTTTCTATTTTTAGTAGAGACGGGGTCTGGCTCTTGCTCAGGCTGGTCTCGAACTCCTGAGCCCAAACAATCCGCCTGCCTCGGCCTCCCAGAGAGGATTACAGGCGTGAGCCACCGCGCCCGGCCTAGGCCTGTTTTAAATAGTTGGTTTAAGCTAGGTCCAATGACTGGACTTTCTCAGGGACAGTTTCTGTTAATTGTTTTTTCTCTGGATGGGCTACCGTATTTTTTTGTTTCTTTGCATGCCTTGTAATTTTTTGCTGAAAACTAGACATTTTGACCATTATAACGTGGAAACTCTGTAAATCAGACTCTTCCCCTCCGCAGGGTTGCTTGTTGTATGTGGTGCTGATCACTTTTCTGAACTAACTTTGTAGCGTCTGAATGCTTCATGTGGCCGCTGAAGTCTTTGCTAATGATTGGACAAAGAGTTTCTTAAACACCTGAACCAGAAAAAAATCTCCCAGTTTTTGCCGAAGCGCTCTGCGTGCAGGGGCTGCCTTCTCAACATTCACGCAGGCAGTTTGTGACTCTGTCTTAGCCTTCGCCTCCTGATTCTCAGAGTCAGCAAGCGAGAGCTCAGGGCCCCCTCAGGTTGGTCCCCCACTGTAGGCACACACATGGCATCTATTAATATATTCCCTGGGATGTGTTGGAGCTTGTCAAAGCCCTTATTCCCAAAGCACCTCATTCCTCACCCTTTCCTCCTGAGGTTTTTGTTTAGTCTATTATTTGCCTTAACTATTATCTATTGCTTATAAATGTTTTCAACAAACATCCACCTCAACTCATTCCAGGTAGCTTTTTTAGCCCTGAGCGAGCTCCAAGTTAGGCAGGACAAGGACGAGCCTTTTGATGTGGCCTTCTAGGGAGCCTCCTGGCAGGTCAAAACAAAAAGCTATAATTTTTGTGAACAAGGTTCATTCTCCTCTCTCTGGTATCGATGCTGGGCATTCAGACGGTTATTTGCAAGGGTTCCGCTGAGCCAGGGAGCAGGGTATGGGACTGGAATAAGTTAAAACTGCACCAAGCTCTCTCATTTTACCAAGAATCAGCTGGCTGTTTTTATTACGTGTTGCTCTGGTCGCTGCAAGTTATCGATTAGTTTCCAGTGCCCTGAAAAAGCTGCTTCTGATAGTTTTTGCCCATGTTTTCACTGCCTTTATGGAGGGATGGGTTTTTGGAGTTCCTTCCTCCGTTTTCACTGACAACACAGCTGTGTTCTGTTTTGAATAATTCTAACACCTGAAGTTCTTGCAGGTCTGAGCTTCTGTTTATTTTTCTCCTGGCCCTTGCTTTGGCATCTTGTTTATTCATTAGGGCTGATTTTTTTTTTAAGCGTTATCTCTGGGAATTCTTTGAAGCCTGGAGTGGAAGTGTGTTCTTGAAGGGATGGAATATATTGATTTCTGCCAGGCAGGGATGGTGAAAATCATCTTAAACTGGATCCCCACCACTGCCAGGGGACATTATGAGAACCACCCAGGAAACGTCCCCAGGGGCTGCATTCCTGCTTTGGAGCCATCTTCTTAGGGGAGAATTTTTTTGCCTCTCCATCTATGCTAGGTCAGGACTGTCCAGTAGAACTTACTGTGATGATGGAAATGTTTTCTCTCCGCATTGTAGTATGGTAGCCACCATCCCCATGTGGCCGTTGAACTGTGGCTTACAACAGAGGGACTAAATTTTTAATTTTATTTAAGTTCCATAATTTTAAATACAAATTTAAATAGTCACACGTGGCTAGTGGCTGTGGTCTGAGACTGCATCATTTAGACAGTTTTTCTCAGGTTTTCTTGCAGTCCCCAGGCTGGGATGGAGGAAGCAGAGATGGGGTAGATTATCTTTAGTTCACCCTCTGGAAATGTGCCCCTTCAACTCCCCATCTTTTTGGGAGAACGTCTTCTTGGGCTTCTCACTTGGGGCAGGCACTGAGGCTCATCTTGTCCCCGTCAGTCTGCAAGGCATTCTGATGTTGTCTCGGTGAGAACGCGTCGCTCGCCCCTGGGAACGCCGTGTCCTGAATTGTTTAGATCAGCTTGTGAGCGTCCATGCCATGTGCTATCGTGGAGGTGCATGTTAGTCAAAAAGAGGATGTACTAATAAGTTAGTTTAATTTGTTTAAACGGAATTTGAACCTCTCGAGAAAGATCTTTACAAATATATGAACTCCGTGTCTTCTTCCATAGGAGCAAAGCAGACCTTCAGCTGTGATACCTGTACGTTCACCTCTTCGAGAGCTTCGAGTTTTAATCGCCACGTGAAATCGCACACTAGTGAGAAGTCTCACCTGTGCCACCTCTGCCTGAAAACCTTCCGCACTGTCACTCTGCTGCGGAACCACCTCAACACCCACACAGGTAGAGCAGCCGAGAGTGCTGTTTCCCTCCCATAAGTCAAGGCCGATGTAAGAGTGTGAGTCGACCTGTTCCTGCGTTAGAATCACGTGGTGTTTTATACCACGTGTCTGTCTTTTGTTCTCGAATTTCCATTAAAAATCCCGAATGCTACAAAGATGTCTTCTCTCACACACATCCGTGGTATTTATAGTTTAAAAAGAGCCTTTTCTTAATGTGTAAAGCGTTTTGAGACTGAGTGTAATTTAAAAGTTATCAATTCCTTGGAAATTTTGTGGTTATATCTTGTTTTAAAAGTATAAACTATGTGATTTTACAGGAACCAGGCCCTATAAGTGCGGTGACTGTGACATGGCATTTGTCACCAGTGGAGAGCTCGTCCGACACAGGCGTTATAAACATACTCACGAGAAACCCTTTAAATGTTCCATGTGCAAGTACGCTAGCGTGGAAGTAAGTCCGGTCTTGTATTTGAAGCTTCGTGGGGTCTAAGTAAGAAGTTTCTGTGGAAGTTATGCTAAGTGTAACTGCAGTAGAACCTGTTGCAAATAGTTTTACTAAAGATATCAGTCACAGAAAATTTACACAGGAAATAACATATATTCTGTTTTCTAAAGTTAAAATAGAAAATTGGATTTCTTTTTTTCTGTGATTATTAATTAGTGAAAAACAAACTGTAAATAAAATCACTTGTGGTCAAGAAGTAATTTTTTAAATTTGCTAAAAAGCTCTCTCACTTATGTGATACTCGGTGCCGCAAAATCAAAATGTATTTGCTCCAACATAGAACGCAGATGCAGTCTGAAATTTTGCTGAAATTTTTAAGGTAACCTCAATGCTGTTTGGTCAGATACAAAGCAACTTGCTTGAAGATTCCAGCATAGCCATTTCTACTGTTAATTACAGAGCGAAACCACCCCTTTCAACTGTCCTGTATCCTGGTCGTTGCAACTAGGTTGTTTTATTTGTACCTTGTCACGGGTTTAGCAATACTCTCAATGAAACACCGGCAGACGTTACATTAACTTTTCAAAGCCAGTTTTCTACCAGTTAACTTGTAGGGGTTCTTCTGTGCGTGGGGAAGCGTGCTAGGCCACGGTTTGGAGCTCAGGGGGGCGGGACAAACAATACACTCGAGTGGAACTAAGTTAAAGGGAAGAGCTAAAGGTTAACTATCGTAATGATGCAACCGGGTTTCACAAATTAGCAAATTTCACAAACAGGGTCAGAATTTGATTCCAGGAATTTTTTTCTGCTATTACTATTTTAAAAAAAGTATTTCTCATCTGAGTTAAAGGTTGTGATTGTAGTGTGAGACTATAAAGTGAAGGTCCCAGAGAAAAGCCACCAGAGAATTCTAACCCTGGAATGGACGTTTTGTCGGTGTTCTTCCGGGTCGCCAAGACCCGTCCCCAGCACGGGCCGCCGCACGCGGCCCGGGGTTGGGTGGGAGGCAGCCTCGGCCCGGGGGCCTGCCAGGGCCCTCATTTTCGCAGTCTCCACGTCTTGCCTGCAGGAATGTGTGGGAGCTCCGGTACAGACGCACCGGTGTTTGAAAGCTTCTCAACTGCTCTTGCCCTCCCATCCGGCCTTCGAAAGCCACCCAGCGTTGGTTTTATTCAGGGCCACCTTTTGTCATTCGTACCACTCATCCTACTCAAACCTCTCACACTGTAATTTTAAAAATTCTGTACTCTGGTTTCTCTTCAGATCTTTCTCTTCAGATCAGGTACAAATCTTTTGCCTTTTAAAAATTCTTTTTGTTCTGCTTTCCAGTGTACTTGAAGACATTGGAGCTAAATTTTTCAGTTTGGATCTTGTTTTCCATTCTAAGCCGCCTTTTGTTCTTGAATGTTCTTAAGGCTTTTGTGCGCCCGTCACTTACCGGGGAAGCGGATCGGTGGGGTCACAAGCAGAACAAACGTGGGCTTTGTAACTTGTACAGTCCCTGTGTGGCTGACGCCCTCTGTTTCCTGCTGCATGTGGATAAGGACCTGCCATGAGCGAGTTTAGCATAAGAATAGTCTAGAAGACAGTGAAACAGTCAGGCAAAGAAAGATGTGATGGGAGGTATTATGTTGTTTGCTCTTTAACTAATTGCCTGGCATACACAATGAATCAAATTAGAATTTATTTTCTTCTGCTTAAAACTTACTTCTTATAAAGTAACTGCGTTATACCACGCAGTACCGCCGCCTGCTGGCAAAGGAGGCCTCCCCGTCCACGTGCCAGGCAGGGTTGGGTCCCCGGACTTGTTACTGTGAAGCATACGAATCTCCCTGGTTAAAGAGCTAAGGTTTCAAGGTTTTTACTTAATATGAAAAAGACATTTTCTGGCCTTTGGGCTTCGACAGCATGATCTAAATTTTGCCACTGTTGAGCGTATGTTGCCTTAGACATAAAAATAAAATCATGGATGGCGTGATCGTTAAATTATGGTAGTTACATGGCCAGTGAAAGACTCTCGGAACTGCCGTTCATCATCCCTAAAGGAGCTCGCACACACACGTCAAATGAAAAAAAAAACCGCCCACAGCAGAATATAAAAAGTAATGACTTTTTCGTGTTTCCCGTTAGTGAGATATGCGCTGGTGCTCTGATGTCCGAATCTGAGTAATTTAAGTCTCGTTTGCGATGCTGATGGACGGAAGGCTCCACAGCCTGCGGGTCTCCCGAGTGACTCTCTCCCGCTTGCGTTGTAGGCGAGCAAACTGAAGCGCCACATCCGCTCCCACACCGGCGAGCGCCCCTACCAGTGCAGCCTCTGCAGCTACGCCAGCAAGGACACCTACAAGCTCAAGCGCCACATGCGCACACACTCAGGTGACGGTGTCTCGCGTGCGGCCTCCTAAGTAGACGTGCGTTTTTCGAAGCGTCTGAGCTTTTAAAAGTTACCCGTCAGTGCCAAAATCCAAGTTCCAACGGAAAAGTCGATTTTCGCATTCCCGTTTAACTTGGAGATTTTGACCCGTGCCTTTGCATTTACCTGGCACTGGGGGAGACCACGTACACGCTGTGCTAAGTAGAGCACCGTAAGGTGTTTGCTTCTGTCGGGTTTCCAGGTATTTACAGGTCGCCGCCTTAATTCATTCTTCAAGTTTGAGGCAAAACATAAAGCAAGGTGTGCTGGGTTCACGTCCGGTGTGCTTGTGTTGTGTTAGGTAAAGGCCACGTTTGTGTGTCCTTCTTGGTTCTCCCTACAAGCTCGTGGAGACGAGCCACCTTGAACTGACGGGCAGCCGCCAGACGCAGTAGGCGCGTCTTTGGGCCGTCGCGGACGCAGCTGCACTTGACGTGAGCTGCCTGGGCTCGATTTAGGAGTCGCGCGCTGACGGGGGGTTAAACCTGTGAGAAAGGGGTAGGAAAGGAAGCCCTAGGAGCGGAAGAAACGCTTTCAGCACCCGGTGTCCCTGGCAAGGATCAGGGCCTGAGGGGCGAAGCCGCTCCCTGGGGTTCATTTTGTCACTTATGTCCCAGGCGAGAAGCCCTACGAGTGCCACGTCTGCCATGCCCGATTCACCCAGAGCGGGACCATGAAAATACATGTTCTGCAGAAGCACAGCGAGAACGTCCCCAAGTACGAGTGTCCCCACTGTGCCACCATCATTGCAAGGAAGAGCGACCTGCGTGAGTGTCTGGTTTCATGTTTCTTTACTACAGTGTTTGCTGGTTCTTTGGAGCTCGGCCCTGGCCGCGCGGCTGGGGACTTCGCCCAGGCTGCGTCTTCTTCCACAGGTCCTGTGGCGCCATCTGGTGGCGGGACCGCAGAAGTGCAGCTCCGCGCCACGTTCTCAGAGTGTGGGCCTGGGCCCGTTCCGTACACACGTGATAAGATCTTTCACGGATACCGTTTTATTCCATATTGGGCCTGTCTTTACAGATGGGGCCCCAGGGCTCAGGGACAGAGTGAACTGCCTGAGACCCACGACCAGGGTGCTAGGAGGCGGCGTGGTCACAGGTTCTGACCCTATTACTGTTCTCTCCAGTGATAACTCACTAGCTTTTCCTAAACGCTTGCCTGAAGTTGTGGGAGCCAAAGGCACAAAAGGAAGAATGCAGACCTAGATCTCCCTGTAAGGAACTTACTTGAGTGGAGTAAGATGGTAGCAGACCCCTCGAGGCAGGGCGGGACTCAGCAGCAGCAGCTCGAGAGCCAGGCTTAGGTGCTGGGATTTGTCTGCCTGCAGGGAACCCGCCAGCCAGTGCTCACCAGTGGGGACGGCGGTAAGAGGGAGTGGTCGAGCCTCCCTTCTTTGAGTCAGGATCTGGGGCCTCCCTTTTCCATGATCTTATTTCTCTCTCCAAAATACATGACACTGCGATACTCAAAATACATTAGCAAAAGCAAAAATTTACCAGTTTGCCCAGAGAAATTCTGTAGAGGGGAGGAACTGTTTTGAAGTCTTAACTTTTATTTTTCATCTGGAACATTCTGTCATGTTGCCATAGATGCCAGCACACCACAAAACACAGCCCAGTGGGACTTGGGAGGGCACAGGGACCACCAGCCAGTTGCCAAGAAAGGATACAAGACACTGTGGACACCCTGGCAAAGCCATAGAGTTTGTGTCTATCCCGTGCCAGCAGGTGACACACTGCGGACACCCCTGCGAGATGCTCTGTCACCGCACTAGCCCTGAGACAGTGTGCTCTTTAAATGTCCAAGTCAGCGGATGCAGGGCCCCCCGTCACGCAGCTGTCGGGTTTTGGTTCTTACACTAAAGTGTCACAAAACCAGCAGAGACCTTCACGAACAAAAATTACCCTAGAGCATACCCGGTCAGACCTTACCACACGCCCCGGGTCAGCTCCGACTTAGGAGAAACAGGACATTGACTTGTAACAGAACGTGCGGATTTTTTTTTAAGGTAAAATACAGAGGTTATATCTTTTTATGTAAAATCACCTTAACATTATCCTAAAATCTTCCTACCCTATAATACGATCCTCACAGTGGGTCCTCACAAACTGGGTCCAGTACGACCTACCTTACGTGACATTTAATCCACGTTGCAAGGGCGTTAAAACGACGTCTCAGTATTCGGTTCCTTCAGAGCAGTGGTGCTCAACTGGGAGTGGTTTTACCCCCAGGAGACATGTGGCGGTATCTGGAGGTGGTTTGGTTTTCACAGCTGGAGAGGAAGAGGTGCTACTGGCATCCAGGAGACAGAACAGGGATCTGTGCACAGGACGGTCCTGCCCTCCCCGCCCATGAAGGAACAGTGGGGCGGCCCAGATGTTAGCAGTGCCAAGGCTGAGAAACCCCAATTTAGAGGATAGGAGGACAGGCCTAACGGGAAATAGTGCTCTCGAACTACATGATATTGTGCAACTATTTTAGGTGTCCATTTGCGCAACCTGCACACTTACAAAGCTACAGAGATGAAATGCCGCTACTGTTCTTCCGTCTTCCACGAGCGCTATGCCCTCATCCAGCACCAGAAAACGCATAAAAACGAGAAAAGATTCAAGTGCGAACACTGCGATTATGCCTGCAAGCAGGTACTGTGCTTGAGTCGGTTTGGGGAGGCAGTGGGACGTGGAAGAAGGGAGGGTCGGAGTGGGATTCCCTCTTCGAAAATATTGGAAAAAGTCATGTTTTACTATAATAGCCGACTCAGAATAACCAGAAAGCAGCCATGAGCCAGTCGTTTAAAGCGACGGCTCTTAACGTGTATTCGCAGACCTGTAGAGCTCCCTGTAACCAGTTAGGGGCCCACAAGATTCAAACCATTGTCCTAATAATGCCAAGATGTCACTTGCCCTTTCCCTCCATTGACGTTTGCCCGCCGGGTGCCACAGCAATGGTGACGCCTTAGCACAGACCAAAGCCGTGACACCCGCAGGACGGGTCGTGGCTGTATTCACCTTCTCGCACTGGCGGCAGAAACAAAGGGCAGTTTCACTCAAGAATGTCCTCGATGAAGCAGTGAAGGTTGTTTACTTTGTTAAATCTCGACCCTCAGTGCTTTCTTCTTGATACTCAGCGTGACGAGACGGGAAGGTGGCGTGAGCGCGTGCGCTGTCCTCTGAGGCCGTGCAAGCACACGTGCCAGACGAACTCTGCTTATTCAGTCAGGGGCGTTTGGCGGACATTCTCCTAGAAACGAACGACAGCAGCCTGTCCCTTCAAGGGAAACGTGGGGGACCAGGAATGCAGCTGCACTTTTCAAGAGAAAATCAGAATTGGAATTTTGAAAAATTTAGATTCACTACTGTGAGCTTTACAGCTTTGTAATATTTAAGACTTTTCTAAGATTGGAGTTACTTTAAGAATGCAATTTTTTTATATTGTATAATGAAATATGTCAGCATTGAAAGATCTCCATAACTCAGTAAACTGACACTTTGCAGACGCCCAATGCATGATGTTACAGAATCGTGCGTGGGTGATAGACTCGTTGAAAGTAAAACGTAGACCAACGGGTTTTAGCTAAACAGAGGACGCCACGTTCACTGGTAGCGGGTCACATTCTGCAGTGCAGCCGACCTTTAAGAAATTGCCGCTCACTGAGTTTGGAGCAATAGAAAAGAAGGTTGTGCACAATTATTTGAAAAAGCTAGTAAAATTCTGTTTCCTTTTTCAACTCCATGTCCGCGAGGCCAGATTTTCTTTATTATACCTCCAGAAGACTGAGGGGAGAGCAGAGATGGGACTCCGCCTGAATTCTTTTAGTAGGGTTGTCGGACTTAGCAAGTAAAAACACAGGACACTCCGTGAAATCTGAATTCCAGATAAATAATGAATAGTTTTGTGTATAAGTATGTCCCAGACCTTGCAGTCTGTGCTTTAACTGGCAACCTCATTTAATAAGCCTGGCAGGGGGGGAGTTGGAAAATAAATAACATATTTTTGCAGAAATAGGTTAACATGTAGTCAATTGTTTTTTTAAACTAATGAATATTTTTTAAAAATATTTTTAAATGTCTCAGTTCTGATTTTAATACAGTAAATACTAACACATACCACCCGTGTAAACAAAAGCTCTTGGAAGCTGCAGTAATTTTTAAGAGTATAACAGGTCCTGAGACCAGATGGTTGAAAACCAGACCACTGCTTCTATCAAGATGTGTTATAATACTATTGGGAAATAGAAGAAAAACATTTAGGTATTTAGCATACTTCCCACCCCACACGTCTGGTGAATTTAAACTCTAACGTTAGCTTTTTAAGTATGCAGGTTTTGTTTACCTTTCGTAAACTCAGGTAATTGCAAATAATTTAATAGAAATAGGACTTCAAATACCTGACCCCTTTTGGAGAGGAAAAATGATCCTGGTTTCACTCCGCAAGGATGTGTGACCGTGTGCCTCATAGCACCGGAGAACCAGTGAGGAATTAATTAATTGCAAGGACTCTGGGACTTCTGGGACTGCACACAAATTTATTTCACAGATGGCCATGCACTCAGAGATTGAGTGGTGCTTTGTTGAGAATGTGTTTGCAGTAATTTTCCTTAATAGTGTGGGCTCATCTTTGGAGAGAAAAAGTATTGTACGATAAATAGTGTCTGATACTAAAAAAAAATCCTTTAAATAGATAAGCTGTTTTCTTCCGTTCCCTCTTAGGAACGACACATGACAGCCCACGTCCGGACCCACACTGGAGAGAAGCCATTCGCCTGCCCTGCCTGCAACAAATGTTTCCGACAGAAGCAACTTCTAAACGTTCACTTCAAGAAGTACCATGATCCAAGTTTCATCCCGACTGTTTATGAATGCCCCAAGTGCGGCAAAGGCTTTTCCCGCTGGGTAAGCTTAGCTGAGTTACCATCAATCCTCCCTGGAAAGATCCCTCTGTCTCAGAAGGACGGTGTCACACTAGGAGAGTTTAAACCTGATGGTAGAAACTTGCCAGGGCTTCGGATAGCATCTGTCATGCCTTGGGAGAGTGGTTATTACTTGTTCGGAGTCCCGGAGTTCTTTAAGAATCTTACGAACGTGTGGTCTCCCCTCCCCCTAAGAAAGGACGACCCTACACAGGGTGGGAAACCTTTGTGATGAATTGTCGACCGTCGTGAAGTCGGCCGATGTGTTGAATTTCCGGTTCAACATCAATCTTCACTTTAGAGAGTAGAAGCATTCTAAAGCAATCGATTGTGTCTCCCCCTTGATTCTATTATAAAAAATATTTAAAACAAGCTGACTTGGGCTAGACCTAATCATAACAGAAAGGGTCACTTTAACGAGTCATCGTTCTTGCACAAGGTTATAAAAGGTGCACGTTACCCGCGGTTCTCCCGGAGCCTGTCTTTTCAACCGTGCATTTTAAAATGCATTTGGCGAGGCTGACGCTTGCGTGTTCTGTGTCATTTTTTCAACAGAATAACATGAATAGACACTCAGAGAAGTGTGACCCAGCACAAAAGAAGCCGGCCACCTCAGGAAAAGGAAAAAACGTGAAGAAGAAAAATCAGACGGTCCCGAAGGAAGCCGTAAAGGAAGCCGGTACCTTGTGTTAAACGAATTCATTTTTAATCTGACAGCGATTTTCTAGTTAGTAAATGTCCTGGGTGCTGGAAGCTACTGCTCAGGGGATGCATCCAGAAACCCTGTTTATCCGCCAGTTAATCCCCCAGACGGTGCGAGTGCCAGGCCTGGACAGGTGCCAGCCCGAGGCGCAGCTCTGGGGCTGCTTCCTGCCACTCGGGCAGGGTCTGGCGGCGGCGAGGTGGGCGTGGTTCCTCAGCCACCTCTCAGAGCCGCGGTGGGGGTGGTGTGAGAAAGTCAGCGTGGGCGCCTCGTGAGACGGGTTTGCGTGGCCGAGTGACGGACGTGTGCGCCCCACTCTCCTTGCCCTGGGAGGTCTGCTCGGCCGTGCTGGACTGCTGCCCGCACCTGCAGGGGCTGTGCTGGGGCCGCAGCAGTGAACGACCACAAACCGGGTGGCTGAGGACAGCGGAAGTGAATCCTCTCGTAGCTCTCGAGACCAGAAGTCCCCAGTCGAGGTGTGGGCAGGGCCACACTGCCTTTGGGGGCTCGAGGGGAGGCTCCTTTCTGGCCGCTTTCAGCTCTGGGGGCTCCAGTGTTCCGTGGCTTGTGGCCGCGTCACTCCTGTCTGTGTCACCATCTTCACGTGGCCTTCTCCTCTCTTCCATGTCTGCGTCTTCTCTTCTGGGCATATAAAATGCTTGTCAGTGGATTTAGGGCTTTCTTGGAAAATGTGGCGTGTCCTCATCTGGAGACCCTTAATTATATCTGTGAAGACCCTCTTTTTTCAAAGAAGGTCACATTCACAGGCTTTGGGGGGTGAGGATAGGGACATATCCTTTTAGGGGCCGCCGTCCTAAAAGGCATCTCAGTCTTCATCCGCTGGCCTCGGGGCCGACGTGAGCTCCCAGGTTGGTGCGGGTGGGCCATCCCGTGTGCGCCGGGACTGGCTCTGCGCCGGGAGGGGCGGGCGTTACCTTCTCCGTTTGTCCCTGTGAGAACCTCAGAGCCGTAGAGGTGACGGAAGCCGGAGGACCTTACAGCAGACGCACAGGCTCGCTCTCTAGACGCCCTGTGTGAGGCCACCCCCGTCCTCCACTTGGAAATGTTCCCGCAGACCTGCGGGCCCCAACCCCCGGGCCGCGGATGGTACCAGCTTCCTCTGCATGTACAGCCGCTCCCCATCGCTCCCTCGCCGCCTGAGCTCCGCCTCCTGTCCCGTCAGCGGTGGCATCAGATTCTCGCAGGAGCGAACCCTCCCGTAACCTGCCCATGGGGGGATCTAGGTCGCTGCTCCTTATGGGACTCCAGTGCCTGATGGTCTGAGGCGGAGCTGAGGCGGTGATGCCGGCGCTGGGAGCGGCTGCAAAGACAGATCATCACTAGCAGAGAGGTTTGACCGCACGATAAATGTAATGTGCTTGAATCATTCCGGAACCATTCCCCACCCCGACCAGTCCATGGAAATATTGTCTTCCGTGAAACCAGTCCCTGGTGCCAAAAATGTTGGGGACCTCTGCCACGGATGACTGTCATCCTTTCAACCGCCTTCCTTCAAGAGCTGCCAGATCGCATAGAGGATGCCCAATTAAATCTAAATCTCAGAGAAACGACGAATAGTTGTTTAGTGTAAGTATATCCCACGTACTATTTGGGACATACTTACACTAAAAACTTAATCATCGTTTGTCTGAACCTCAGATGGAAGCGGCGTCCTGCAGTCCTTGCCTTCCCTCCCCGCCGTGCAGAGCTGGCTCTGTCGCTCTCACTGTCCACGTGCCACACGCCCTGGCTGTCTCCGTCTCTCACCCACGTAGATGACAGCCGTCTCCCCGCCTGTGCGGTGCAGCCAGGACCTTGCGGGGTCCCCTGTCCGTGCGCCGTCTCTCAGCTCGGGTAGAGCTGCCCATCCCTGCCACGCCCTTCTCCTCTGCCCCGGAGGCAGCACCCAGAGCTCACACTGCAGCCCTGCAGGGCGGGGCGCTGCCATCCTGGGTCGGAGGGAGGGAGCTGAGCTGCCAGTGCTTCCTGCTGGTTTCTAGCGCCTTCCGCTCCACGCTCCCAGCCCCCACCTCCCCCCAGCCTGAGGCCCCTCAGCACTGCTCGCCCTCCAGGGCGCAGCTGGTTCCCAGGGCTGCAGCGCTCCCTGCGTCAGCGCAGAAGGAAAATGAATGTTCCAGTAATGGGCGTGAGGAGTCCAGCCTGGGTTAGATTGGCTTTTGCACCAATGATGTAAAATAACATTTTTTCATATTTTTTAATGGAGGAGGGGCCCAAAGAAGTCGTGGAGGAGCCGCCCCTCCCGTCTGAGGCCCCATCTGACTCTGGACCCGCCGGTTGCCCACCCCACTGTCCCCAACCAGACCGGCCTCACCCTTTCTTTGCCCAGAATTCGCGGTGATGCCCGCTCACCATGGCTCCCAGGAGCTCTGGCTCCCTGCTCCGCAGGTGCTCCCGGGACTGGACTCTTTAGCACGGCTCGTCTCCCACGGGGCCTCCAGGGCAGGCCTACCTGGCGCGCCCCCAGCCTCTGGCCCCGCCCTGGCATTAACTGGTCGTTAATCTGCCGCTTACTTAGTAAACCAGTGAGTAATAAGCACAGTCCTTACTGGAGCAGACAGACTGGTGGACTCTGACCCACGTCCTTCAACCATCCTCGTCGCCGTCCCAAGGCCGGGTTGCTGGGACCCCGAGCTTTAAGTTTAGGACAGAACCTAGAATGTCAGTAGAAAAATGTGACTTTCCACCTAATTCGGTACCTAAAGGGCACTTCCGCAGTTCTCCCCCTATTGACGCCTAAACGTAGTACTTTTTTAATACCTGTTAAACAAAACCCCTAGAAGACCCAACAATTTGGGTTGACTTTTGAAAATGTCACGCTCAGTTGGCGACATTTTTCTGTGGAGAAGAGCTGGGGACAGGAAACAACTGGCGTCCACTCCAGGGCCCCAGGCAGCCGCGGGAAGTGGGGGCTGCCCTTGTCAGCCCTGAGCCGACGTCTCCTAAATGCGCTTCCTGGATGCGGACGCCGAAGTAACTGAGAACGTTTTGAAGAGAGGAAGGTGGGTCCCAGCGTCTCTCTCCTCTCCTATTGCCGACACCCGTCTCTGGGACGGGAGTCCGTGGAGGGGATGGCTGGGATGCTGTTGCCTTCAGCGTTCACGGTCCAGAGGGCAGCGGTGAGGACGCTCTTGTAGATTTAAAACATGAGGGTCTGCTGGGCGCGGTGGCTCACGCCTGTAATCCTAGCACTCTGGGAGGCCGAGGCGGGCGGATCGTTTGAGCTCAGGAGTTCGAGACCAGCCTGAGCAAGAGCGAGACCCCGCCTCTACTAAAAATAGAAAGAAATTAATCGGACAGCTAAAAATATATAGAAAAAATTAACCGGAAATGGTGGCGTGTGCCTGTAGTCCCAGCTACTTGGGAGGCTGAGGCAGGAGGATTGCTTGAGCCCAGGAGTTTGAGGTTGCTGTGAGCGAGGATGACGCCACGGCACTCTAGCCCGGGCAAGACAGTGAGACTCTGTCTCAAAAAAAAAAAAAAAAAAAAAAAAACATGAGGGTGACGACACTGGGACACTAAAACCTCGTCCCTAGTTTCGGTGGGCAGCTGTTGCAGCCAAAGCGAAGCTCGAGTGAAGGCCAGTAGCCCGCCCTGTGCTAGCAAAAAAGTCTGTGCACGTCAGGCGCTCTGTAACCCATGGCGTCCAGATGGTTGTTTCCTTCCCGTGCCTGCTGCTGCGTCCTCACCCGTCGCCTTCCCAGTTCATTGGCGGACCTCGGCACGTTCCCGTCCGATGGCCCCAGTTCTGAGAATCTCAGCATCAGTGTTGATTTTCATCCAGAAGAACTGGGTCTGTTGCCCTCTGCACGCCCCCAACAGTAGTTCAAGGAAGCACAGGCAAAAATGTCTTCGCCCGACTTTGAACTAATCTGAGGTCATCACATTCGTAAACGTGGCGCCCCACAGGTGTGCTCAGGAAGCCATTTGGAAACTGAGCAGAGGGTCTAATGTGGCTCGGTTTGCGGTCATCTGTCTTAAACTCTCGAAGTTGTGCTCACAGCTCATAAGCTGTTGGAGGGTGAGCAGGTTATGGCCTGGTTACGTCCTGGGGATGGCTCACAGCGTGTGCCTAGCATGACACTTGTCCCAGAATCAGTGCCCAGTATACGCTGATTGGCCGGAGGGACACGCCCTGCTAGCAGTGGCGTTTTTCACTTTGGCGGTGTCACTCCACAGGTGCACGATCTAGGTCTGTAAGATCCGCATCCAGCTCCCAGCAGTTCCGGGTTCCCAGCTGGGCACGATTTTGGCGCCCCAGCCTCCCCCAGGGGACATGTGGCAGTATCTGGAGACATTTTTGGTGGTTGAAGCTGAAGAGGAGGGTGCTACTGGCATGTGGTGGTGGCGGCCGGGGTCGCTGCTGACACCCTGCAGTGCCCGGGACAGCCCCGCTGTCAGAGCGCCCTGGCCCCAGGTGTCTGTAGTGCCGGGTTGAGAAGCCCTGACTTAAGGCAGATAGCTGGGATCAGAACACTTGTTCTGCCCTACCAGTTAGGAGATTGTCTTCTAACAGGCTTGCTGCTGCATTAAAATTTAAGTGATTATCTCCAAAATATACTTGCACAGTTTATCAATTGCAACTTCTTGGCTTTCTGTTGAATTTGCTCATTCTGTGCCTTTTTCCCAAGAAACTGCCGTTGAGGAGGCTTCCACCGAGAGGGGAGAACAGTTCCCAGGTGAAATGGTTTTTGTCGACTTTGGAGAGACCTCAGCTGGAAGCAAGGACCTGGATGGAGACATTACCTGTGAAATGATCCTCAACATGATGGACAAGTGATAGAGATTAAGTTTCATAGCCTTTAAGTCTTAAAGCAAGGTAGAAATTTTGAGCATCTTCTTTGAAACAGTTTTGTTCATGACAATACATGGTCACACACATTTTTTCAAAGTCTGAAGTAATGCCTAGAATTGTTTGCCTGTTTTTAACTGGATATTTCAAAAAACATTGAAGGTATTTTATAAAACACTTAAACCTTGAATCAGAGGGTAACACCTCAAATCTATGAATTCGTTCACCTGGCATTGGCAAGCTGGCCCACATGAAATAGTAATGATTTTTGGATAATAGTTATTTCAGTAGTATTTTAGACCAGCAGGTGCTTCAGCCAGCAAAGCTGGAAAATTTTATGTTGGGTACACACACCTGTGATATTTTTAATATTATGACATTTCAAATGAAAGACTGATTTTATATTCTTTTTTTATACACATGAACTTTCCATAAAATTTTAAAGCTACCATAATGCTTTTAATTAGTTCCAAATTCAGCCCCAAAAATACTGTTATTAAAAAACAGAACAGAAAATGAAAAACTAGATTAGACTAGAAAGTGATGAGTCATCTATTTTACTTTGGTATGGGAGCAAGGAAGGGTCCCTTTAGATTTTTATATTCTTTTTATTTCTTTTTTTAAATTTATTTCAAAATACTCTTTTAAAATTTATTTCAAAATATTCTTTAAATTTATTTCAAAATATTACGGGGGTACCAATGTTTTTGTTACATGGGCAGCTTTTATAATGTTTTAGTCAGGGCCGTAAGTGCCCATCACCTAGATAGTGTTCATTGTACCTGGATTGTGTGTTCTCTCTCAGTTGTGTTCCTTGGTGGGTATGAAATTGCCCTGGTGACATTCCATTATTACTTACTTCATAGCCCTTTTGTTCTGCTAAAGCTACTTTGTTTATATTTTTAAATAATTGGCAGAGTGAGAAGAAACAAAAATTTGATAATGAAAATGTGTGCTTGTAAGAATCTGTCCTTTTTTATAACACCCAATGATTAGTGCCAATTGAGGTTTTCCCCGCCCTGGAGCAGCATGAGAAATGCCTCCTTAGCACCTAAAATTAGCTAGTACCTGTGTTTACACGGAACTGGATTTCTTTGCTTAGCCCAGCAGCTGCTTTTGCTGTGAACCTCCCTACACCCTCAGATTTCAAAATCACTGATAGGTCCTGAGTTGAAATTCTTAAAATGTTGATCTGTTATTAAAAATATCCCAAGTTCGGAAGCCCTATACAACATGAACATGTGGGAAGGATTTCCCAGCCGGGAGGGCATCATATTCTCTCTGTACCAACAAATCAATTCGATTCACATGATACAATGAAATTGCAATTCCATTTTGTGGTCTGTTGTATGCTATCATTGCAGACTGAATTTTTGTGATCGTTGCTTATTTTTTGACCTGTGTCTAAAGATGTTTTATATAATTCAATAAAATGAAATGAAATGACTTAAGATCGTTGTCTTTGTTGTACGTCAGTGGCGGTCCTTAAAAATGCCGCCTTGTCTGGAGAGGATGGGGAGGAGCTGGGAGCCCCGAGCACTGCCGCTGGGAACGTAACAGGGGCAGCCGCTGCGGACAGTATGGCAGCTCCTCAAACAACGTAAAACGGAATTATTATGTGATTCATCAACCCCCAATTCCTGGATATACTGTATACCTAAAGGAGCCGAAAGCAGGGTCTCCAAGAGATATTTCCACACCCGTGTTCACTGCAGCAGTACTCACGATAGCTAAAAGGTGGCAACGACCGAAATCCCATGGATGGGTGAAGGGATGAACAAATGTGGGCCACAGATAAAATGGAATGTCACCGGGCCTTACAACGGGAGGAGGCCCTGGCACGGGCGCAGCCTGGGCGAAATCAGCCAGTCGCAGAAGGACAGATACTGTTTGATTCCATTCACACGAGGTAGTCAGATCCATGCAGGCAGGAAGCAGAATGGTAGTCGAGGGGCTGGGAGGAGAAGGGGCGGGAATCAGTGTTTAGTGGGTGCAGCACTTCAGTTTAGCCAGATGGAAAGAGTGAGAAGGAGGGCGGTGAGGGTCGCCCAGCAATGTAAATGGACCTGATACCACTGAACTTAAAAATAGTTAAAATGGTGCATGTTGTTACGTCTATTTTACTGCAGTTGAACAGTTTTTTAAAAATTTAAAGAAGAGATAATATAAGAAATCTTTGAAAATGCAAGCCCAGTTTGTATCTAAACACAGTTAAAAACTCCTTATAAGTAGGCTTTCCTAAGTAATTGCAGTGTCTTGCATGTGTGACACCTGGGTGAGCTATTATATGGAACGCACTTCAGGTGGAAGGTCGATGTTGCTTCAATTACGTGCCCACATGCTCACCGAGCACCTGGATCAAAGGTGAGACTCCACCTGTGCACTGTTAGTGCATTTGATTCTGTAACAGAAGCAGTAACCGTAGTCCCCACAAGAGGGCAGTCGTTTCCCTCTTTTCAGACATTGAGATGGGTTTGCTAATCAAGCCCGTAATACAAACGCAAAGTTACAGCTGTTGGCGATTTTATTAACTTCGTACCATACAGAAAGAGGGAGAAAGTAGTTTGTCTTTAATAGTAACACGAGGATTCCTTGCACCTGAGGTTGCTAAGAGAAGGCGCCTCAGCCAGGCTCAGTGGCATGAGCCTGTACTTCCAGCTACTCGGGAGGCTGAGGCAGGAGGATTGTTTGAGCCCAGGAGTTGGAGGCCGCAGTGAGCTGTGATCACGTCACTGTGCTCCGGCCTGGGTGGCAGAGAGGGAGAGAGAGGGAAGGGGCCTTCGCAAAACCTGGAAGTCAGGACACTTTGGTTGGCTCTGAGTTTGAGAGTACTTGATAAGTGACACCTTCAGAACCCTTCAGCTTAAAATAGTTTGGAGACCCAGGAGGAAATAATGCTGGAATGTACACCTCTTGCACAATGTAACGTCTCTGTGTCGCAGGGAGGGGATGTTTAAATTACAGCATTGTTTGACAACATTTTTACTATATAAAGGACAGCGTTTAAACAAACCTAAGGCCTGGCTGATGCAGGTTACCAACGCCTGTTTGAGATCAGTCCCTGAGGAGGCTGCATACTAGAGGTTAGTCCCGATGAGACAAAGTCATTTTAAACTATAAAGTTTGATAGCCTACCTTTTGAAAATGGCAAGATATTTTCCAGATATTATTTCCAGTATAAATCTGTCATTTTTTCTGATGACCATCGATAATCCTCTGAACAGCCCCCGTAAGTGCATTGTTTATGACTATTGGTCGTTAATGGACATTGTTCTTTGTATTTAAACAATGCTCAGTTAAAGCCCGAGGACGTCTGGTATACCTAGTCGACTGTTTTCTACATTTCCCTGTCCTGTCATTGCCGTTTACTTTTAATTGAATATATCAGATAAACACAGATTTTAAGTGGCGGCCTACTTTATGATGCTATTTTTAGGAATTTTTGTATCGTTTCCAAGGCATGGCTGTGATTACGAACCTGGTTCCTATAAATCATTGTCTTTTTAAAGTATGAACAGCTTAGCGTTTCAAGATGCATGTGCTTATTTTGCTGTGCATTGCAGAGTATTAGTACTATACAGGGGCTCACTGCGCTTGTCTGGACAAAAAGTGCCGTGAAAAACTCTGAATCGAGCCACGGTGGCTAGAAGCTGGCTGCCACGGAGCACACGGAAAGGCTGCACGGAGCTCTCGCCCTGAAGTGTTCCTGTTAGGAGCAGCCAGCGCCTAAAGGGTGTTGCTGCTGTCTTTTCCCGAAAGGAGTGTGACAGTTTGCACAAGTGCAAAGGTCGCTGATTAAAAGATCCATCCTGATAATTACTATAATCCTACCCTAAGGGCTGAACTATCAAAAGAAGTCAAATAACAGAAAATCACATACTAGACAATGAATTACTTTAAGCCAATCAGCATCGGTCCCTGTATTCTGCAGAAAAGGCTGTGTTTTCTCCTGCTTTTCCAAGGCAGCTGCTTCCCTCCGTGGCTGTTATAAAACGTGAAACACACGTTTGGTGGGAAGACGCTCACCTAGTATTTCAAGCACGAGAACCACTTTCTCCCTACAAATGAAAGTAAAGTGCTCGCAGCGCTGAAATTACCTGTGAATTCCGACAAAACAATTTTAAAAGGGATCCAAGGATTTTTCTATGAGATGAAAATAGCCATTTTTTTCCATTAAATAAATGCAGGGAAAAAAAAAAAGTCTTGTTATACAGGCGCGCCCAGGTTTGCTGCTCATATAGAAGAATTTAAATCCAGCGGCACCTGGAGTTCAAAAATCGATTTAAAATGGAAGACGGGGGCAGATGTGCCTGTTCTGTCGCCGCGGCTGAGCACCGTTCACTGGTCTGCGGCCTCCTGACGCCAACTCACTCAGCAGTGATGCGCCCATGTAGCGGGAAGCTCCGTGGCTCATCAAGTCCCAGGGCAGACACCGGAGGCCAAGGGGTCGGCCCTGCGTGGCTCAGAGCTGAGCGGTGTCCCCTGAAAATGACCACAGTCTTCTAACTTCTAGAAGTGCCTGCAGGTTTAGAACATGTTGCCAAGGATGTCGGCACACAGTGAGTACAGCAGCCAAGCACCCGGGCTCCACTCGATCGCTGAATGTCAGACTCCCTCAGATGCGTTAAAACGAAATGCAAGTGATTTTTAAAGACAGCAGCACAGTAGGTTCCAGAGCTGCCAGGTTGAGGCCTGGCACTTCTGCTGGGAGGGGGATGGGAGCTGGGGTGAGAGGGCCTTGGGGCTAGAAGGCAGTTGCTGGAACTGGTCGGAGGGCGAGCCCAGTGTCAGGCAGGAGCGCGCAGGCAGCCCCCAGCCCTTTGGGGTACTTCCTGCTGGAGGCAGCCCGGGCAGAGCCCCTGGATCCTCCCACTTGGGTGCACTTTTTGCTGCGCCAGCCACCGGTCACTGGTCACTTCATCTGCCTCGGCCAATGGGGTCCCTCCTCCGGAGGCGTGGCTCCGCTTACATCTCACCACGGGACACCC